GGAATCCGCAGCCGCTACCCGTTAGTGGATGTTTGACCACGTTGAGAGGCTGAGAGTGCACTGGGTAAACCCCGCTCTACGTGCAGTAGCCCGCAAACCACACATGAGAGGTAAACCGAATTAAGCAAGCCTGGTGCGAATGACTGGACTGAGAAAGTGTTGGAAGAGGATTCGAACTCGTGACAATTGGTCTCCGTGTTCACCTGTTCCACCAATTCGATCACCCCCTTCGGGGTAAGGTCTAGTGTTTTTTCTATTATTTAACTAGGTCTAGTGTGCTCACTTGACCGGCACCAGCGACCTTTTCAGTGGCATCCACTGGGTTAATACAGTCAACACTTTATGTGAAGATTAAAATTTTTAATCAAAAATCTAACATGGACGTTTTCGAACAACATTTTCCCTGGCCAACTATCTTGTATGAAATTTTAAATTATTAAATAAAATGAGCCCTAACCTATTTAAATTACAGAATAGAGTTTTCGTTGACAAATAATCTTTTGGTTTCTATGGTAAATTAATTAATGTATGAGTAGGTAAAATCTACTAAACCATAATTAATCTTAATAATTAGAAATATAAATTGTTTTATTCTTCGCTGAACTATCTTGTTTACATAATAAATCAAATAAAAAAATATTTTACATATTTAAATTTAATTTTTATTGAGAAGAATTTAAATAATAAAATGCAGCTAGCATGCATACCCTTAACAGGCCTGTCGATCAAATAGGGTCCACCTAAAACCGTCCTAAGAGAGACTTTTGTCCTTTTCGATTGCTTCTAACCGAAAACATTGTACAAAATACAAATGTTTGACTCTGATATACTAGTAATGTAACAGGAGTTGTTAAGCTTCAAATTTTTATCAGTTGTCTATTTGCAAGATAATATAATTATTCAGAATAGACTTTAATATACATCTTCACCTAATTCTCTCTATTCAACTCTTTTTTCATTCGAAATTCAAGCTTTTTAAATTGTGATTCAAAGTTTGTTGACAAATTGAAGTACAGAAAAGAAGACAATGGGAGGTGGAGGAGTTCGAAAAGTTCAAATCCTGACTAACTTATTTCCCGAGTTCTTCAATCATGAGAGGACAAACTTTTGTATTCAAATTACTTCTTTAATACTATCTCATAACGTGCGTACCAAATCAATTTTCTTGTCAAATGTCCCACGGGTACACAATATTCCCATAAAAGAATAGTATTGAAACTTGACGTGCACTTCAATATCACTTCTAAAATGAAAGCTTCAAAGAAGAATCGTTTTCATTCTTCTCGTGTATGAAAAGTGAGTAGAAAGGATGCTAACTTTCTATAATTTTTTCATTTGATATTAGGATTTCTTGGATATCCAAAATGACTTCTTTCGTAATGAGCACTAGGTATTTGCAAGTCAATTTTCAATGCTATTCCTGGAAATGAATTATTCAACTCCTAAGAAATGAATCATTCTTCGTAATGAGCACTAAGATACTGAATTCAACTCCTGGAAATGAATCATTCTTCGTATCTTTCCTTTTTAGAATAAAAATTTATTATGGGACTGATACTGAATTTATCCATCACGAAAAACCTAAAAAGTATAAATTTTTAGACAACAAGTTTGACTTGAAAATGTATAGAATTTACATATTTAAAATCTTAGTTAATAAAAAATTGCCGCACGATGCTTATTGTTGAAATGCCTGGCGGCCGGCTCTAGCTAGATGACACCCATGTTCTTTCAAAATGTAAGATTACGTGCACAATATCTTCAATCTATTGGCCGTCCCAAGAAAACAACTATAAAAACCCATCTCCACTTCAATTCTCAAACCCCCCCAATCTCTCTCTTTCTCTCTCTCGCTCTCATACGCACACATTAGCACAAAAATGTCCTCCAAAGCCCAAGAATCCAAATTGTGCACTTCTTTGATCCCCAATGCCCCAACATCTCAACAACCTGCAAACCAAACCAAAAAACCCTACAAAATCACACACTTCTCTCTTGTCATTCAAGAAGCCAATTCCATAGCCAAAATAGCCCTCCCAATGATTATCACCGGCCTTTTTCTTTACTCTCGTTCTATGATTTCCATGCTATTTTTAGGAAGACTAGGAGATTTAGCGTTAGCCGGCGGGTCATTAGCCGTCGGTTTTGCTAACATCACAGGCTACTCGATCCTCTCCGGCTTAGCCATGGGAATGGAACCCATTTGTGGACAAGCTTTTGGTGCCAAAAGATACCCGCTTCTTGGCCTTACCTTGCAAAAGACTGTGCTTTTGCTTATTTTCACTTCATTTCCTATATCCCTTTTGTGGCTCAACATGAAAAAGATTTTGCTTTTCTGTGGCCAAGATGAAGCGATTGCTACATATGCTCAAGCATATTTATTCTATTCACTTCCTGATCTTTTCATGCAGGCTTTATTGCATCCATTGCGTATTTACCTTCGAACACAGTCCATAACTTTGCCTTTAACAATCTGTGCTGCCCTATCAATTCTTCTGCACATGCCAATAAATTATCTCCTTGTGTCATACCTTAATTTAGGCATCAAAGGTGTGGCACTAAGTAGTGTTTGGACAAACTTTAACCTCGTAACTTTATTAATAGTCTATATAGTGTGTTTTGGAGTATATAAAAAAACTTGGGGAGGCCTATCCATGGAGTGCTTTAAAGGGTGGAAATCCCTGTTGAATTTGGCCATACCCAGCTGCATTTCAGTGTGCCTCGAATGGTGGTGGTATGAAATTATGATTTTGCTTTGTGGGTTATTAGTAAACCCGAAGGCAACAGTTGCTTCAATGGGTATTCTAATTCAAACTACTGCATTGATCTACATATTCCCATCTTCTCTTAGCTTCAGTGTCTCCACCAGAGTGGGAAATGAATTGGGAGGCGGCCGGCCTGCAAAAGCGAAACTTGCAGCCATTGTAGGCCTTTCTGGCAGCTTCATACTGGGATTTTCAGCACTGTTTTTTGCAGTATCAGTACGAAACATTTGGGCTACCATGTTCACAAACGATACAGAGATTATAGCATATACATCACTCGTTCTGCCAATAATTGGTCTGTGTGAACTTGGAAACTGCCCACAAACCACTGGTTGTGGGGTGTTGAGGGGCACTGCAAGGCCAAAAGTCGGCGCAAATATTAACTTAGGATGCTTTTACCTTGTCGGAATGCCGGTGGCTGTAGGTTTAGCGTTCTTCTTTGGCTTCGATTTTGAAGGGCTATGGCTGGGGCTGCTTGCGGCAGAAGCCACCTGTATGGCCGCCATGATGGTGGTTTTGCTTCTAACAGATTGGGAATTTGAAGCCCACAGAGCCAAAGAGCTGACGGCCGATGCTGCAATTGTTGATGAAAGCGAGGGGTTTGTGGAAAATACGCCCCTTAAATTAGCAGAAAACAAGGAAGATTGTTTATGTTAATTAGATGACAAGATTAGCACAACATAAACATATTGTTATAATTTTTTTGTATGATTTTTTAGCAATTAAAAATGTAGAGCAGAGGAGAGGAAGAGTAGTTTATGATTGTTGTAAGGGATTTATACCTTCTTCTAGTGGGATTCAAATGTTTAATGGGCTAGTGCATGCAAAATATTTAGTTTGACTTAATAAATTAATTAATACTTATGAATAATGATTCTTCTCGTAAACTATAGTCTACTTTTAGAGCATATAAGCGATTCTTCTCGTAACAATTTTGTTACATGGAGGTATGTGTGATTGAATCAGTGTCTTAAAAGGTACGTTTAGGTGTACACCTTTTTTATTTCGTAAGTGCTTGATAAGCGTGTTTTACACGTTTATTTATGCTTTTAATTCGTGATAAATTATGATTAATTTTGAGCGGATTGCTACTTAATTATGTGAAATTATGTGATTTGCGGGAAAATATCAAGGTTGAGAGCAATTGATGCAAAAAGTTGTAATTTTGAATAATTGAAAATTAATTCAACATTTGAAGATCATCAAGGTTGCAATCAATCAATTGGAAGAAGTTTTGGATGAAAGTATAAGATTAAGGACGAAAAATTTATAATTGAAAAGTTTAAGGACCAAACTGAACTTTTTGAAAACATGAGGACCAAGCTGCAAAATTGGAAAAGTGACCGCGGGTCAGCCACAATTTGCAAACCCGCGGCCACTGATGAACCCTGTATGCCGCGGGTGGCCAGCGGGTGTTTGAAGTTCATCCCAACAAACTAATCAATCATTGCTAAAAGTTGAAAAGGAAATAAATTCAACAAATTCACTCTAGCTCAAATGCAGCCACAAACATAGTTTTCTTCAAAACAAATATTTGTGAACAATGTGGATATGATTTGGGGTAATTATGATTTTCTGAATTATGTTTATGTTGGAACCTTTGGGAGAACAAGAGAAGTTATTTTCTTTCTATTTTTTTTTATGATAGGTCTCCTGCCACTTCCTTATTACCATTTAGATAATATCCAATTTACGAAAGACGTGATGCTATCGTATATAAGGAATTGCCTAGTTTAACCTCTTTCCAAAGCTAATTTCATTGCCTGTTCAGCGGGCTATACCCAAGTAGCTTCGGCCCAGACGAGAGATTGGGAACAGGGCCTACAAGAGGTATAGCTTTTATCGAGGAGCTCAACAAAGAAATAAAAGTATAACTCTTTGCTTCTTGTCCTCCTACTCTTTTAGCCAAAATATGTATGAAATTCCTACAAATTTTCAAGGTATGCATTATTTATTTATCTAAAATAGTTAAAGCAATGGAGCATCAACTAAACTATTAAACTTCTTGGAATTAATTAAAGACCAAAAAATTCAGAAGTAGCATTTTATTATCTAGGCGTTAGTTATTAATTATGATTAATTAATCATTAATTAGGTTTTTTTTTTTTTAGATGTTATAAAAATAAAGGTTGTAACTTCAACGGCAAAAAAAGTTGATTTTAATTGAAATAAAATATTAATCGTTGAGATCTTCTCTAATTTCTTTAATTTTCTGTATTTGAAATTTAAAACTAACAAGTCCATATTCTTTGTATTCGTGCGCGAATCAAAGAATTCTTCAAGCCTACATTTTCGGTATTCTTAAGTATCAACAAAAACTATAAGGTAATTATACTTACGATATTTTTTTGAAATCAACGAAATTTCGATTGTGCGTTCGTTCATCATTTCTATGCTTTCAACACTACATCGGATAGCCATGGACCTGTAGATTTTTTCACCTCAATTTTTATCTGACCCATTGTTTTTATTTGATTTTAGATTTTTTTTTTTCGTGTAAATTGGTAATTTCATGTGAGTGTGATTATATATAGACAGCAGTAGTTCATTTAAATGCTTTGACCATTGATTGAAAAATTTAGTAGTAGTTGATTAACCGCTAATTGCAATATATTGAATCGACAAGAATTTCAACGCCGGCTAATGAAAGAATCCAATTATCAAAACTAATCATGCATGTCAAAATTTTTGTTCAATTATTTATAGCACGTGTTGTTATGTATTGTAATATCGAGTAATGTGCGTTTAATTTGTCGCTTAAAGTTGAACAAAATCTAAAACTTTATATGACAAATTATGAATATTTCAATTATCAAATGCGTGAAACTCGGCATGTCAAGGGGGACTTTCTTTCCTTTTTTAGTTATTTGGTGGTTGCCAGGGGCGGTAAGGGTTTATTCGTTTTCCGTGAAAACAAAGAAAATACAGGTTAAAGTGGTAGGAATTCGGTTTTCATTTCCAAGTTACAATCAAACGGTCAAAGTGGAATTCGTTTTCCTCAAATGTAACATTTTTCATGGAATTCGTTGCAATCAAACATGACCTTAGTGGACGACGGCAAGATTTTATTTTAATTTATTCATTAAAAAAAAAAATTAGGCATTGACTGTCTAATATGAATTTATCAGGAATACGTAATTGGTGAGTCAAAAGGCATGAAAAGTGTTGTGCATTACACATTTGTTGAAGATATGAACTAAAGTAAATTACTTTATTTTTCTTTTTAAAAGTCTAAAATTTTTAACGAAAGTTTCAAAATCAGCTCACAAACAATTAGTAAATAAATTAGTGAGGAACTTGTGCAATGATTTTAAAATAAGAGTTGCACCAATGCAATGTGCGAAAGACTTGAAAAGTAAAAGTAAAAATAGATGGCTTTGATTGTTATATACAAGTAATTAATGCTTGAGCGCTATTCTTAAATGAGTAATGCTATTCATCCACACTGGGGATGAAAACACAGTTTACGTGATGGTAATGTGGCATTAAATGATAGGTGAAATTAAATAAGTCATTTCATTTCACCTTTCATTTAACCTATCATTTAATACCATATAAACTGTGTTTTCATCTTCACTAAGGATGAATAACATTACTCTTCTTAAATAGAAATGAAAAGACAGTCAAAGATTTTGAAACTTTCAAATTCTTTGTAACTTTTTGACATTAAAAAGGTGGTCTAAAGTAAGTTTTTTAATGCAATTTGTAGTTATTGTTGAGCTGTCCCATGACAATTTTAAGGTCTAAAATTCTCAAAAAATAAAAAATAAAAAATAATAATAATAAAATTAAATTTTGTTGTTGGAATACTCATGTATCGACATAATTTATGTGGATAACATTTAAAAAAAAAATTAAATTAAATTTTGGACAAAATATTACAGTGGTTAAGATATAATATATAATAGTTTGGAATTCCCCGCCTGCAACTTGAAAAATAATTTAAATTTTCCGGTATAAAAAGAATATTATAAATCACCAATGGAATTTCCATAAATAGCTTAAGAAAAAAAAAAGAATTTAGAAATATTACTGAAAAATAAACATTATACTCAAAGATAAAATCAATTTTTCTATTTTTTTAATTTTGTATTTCGTACAACTTAAAATTATTTTTTTCATTTCTTATTATTATTTGCACCAATTTTGATAGAGATTATGTTATGGGAAATTACAAAAAATCAGGCATTTAATTTTTAAATTCAAAATTTAGGTGTGAATTTTATTTAATCAAAAATCAGGTATTAAATTGATAATTAAATCAAGTATTAAATATTGTATATCCACCCCTAAATAATTCAAACCCTAAATAATTCATTTCTCCCCACTCTCACCTACAATATCGTCTGCCGCCTCCCTCCCTTCTCCTTCCCCTTCCCCCTCTCTTCTCCTCTATGCCGGCGTCGTGACGCTGTCGTTCTCAGCGTCGAGGCGTTGCTGTGATGTTGTGAATCGCAGCAGCGCCTTGACGCTGCTGCCCTCCCTCTCTTCTCTTTCCCCCTCCCTTCTCCTCTTTGTCGGCGTCGCGATGCTGCTGTGAACGGTAGCAGTGCCTCGACGCTGCTGCTTTCATAGCAGCGTCGAGACCCCGGCAGTGGTGTTGCGATGCTACCGTGGGTGTTTGGGTGCTGCTGTGGGTGTTTAGGCATGGTGTTGTGTGCGGTGTTGGTGGTGGTGTTGTGATGTTGGTGGTTTTATTGTGGTTGTGTTTTTGTGTTGTTAGTTTTTGTTTATTTGGTTGCGCGTGGTGTTGTTTGCAGTGGTGGTGCTGTGGTGAGTGTGACAGTGGTGTGGTGCTGTGGGTGCATTTGTGGTGTGCGATGGTGGTGTGTTGGATGGGTGTGTGCAGTTATAGCGATGGTAAGGTGCACTTGGCACTGTGTGCGGTGATTGGGTTGGGCATGCTGGTGCTGTGTGGTGGTGGTGATAGTGACGGGATGGTGTTGAGGACGGTGGTGTGTGATCACTATTTGGTATATGTGACCAATTACTTGGTTACATATGACCAAGTACTAAACTGTGACGCTAAAATTTGATAACCTGTGACTTGAAAAGTAATTTGTAACCAACAAATCTGGAAACCTGTGACCAATGGATAAATCGTGACCTGTAATTTTTTTAATCTGTGATCAATAAAATAAACTGCGACCTATAATTTGGAAATCTGTGACCAATTAATTTGAAAATTTGTGACTGTGTGACCTATAAATTTTGATATGTGACCAACTAATTTTGAAATTTGTGACAAACGTATTAATTGTGACCTATAAAATTTTTGAAATGTGACCGTAAATTGTAAATCTGTGATCGAAATGATTGTCGGAATAGTTGCCGGAATGGTCGTCGGAGTCGGAGCAGTCGCCGGAATAGTCGCCGAAGAAGAGTGGTCGTCGAAATGGTCGCTGGAATAGTCCCCAAAGCGGTAGGGGTGGTGCATATAGGGTGGGTTTATTATATTATATTATATTAGAATTTAAAAAAAAAAAAATCTGATTTTTAAATTGGTGTAAACTAAACACCTTATTTATGAATTTTTCCCTTATGTTATGTTCAAGTTCATATGTGCATATTGTTGACAATCCTGATACAAGTTTAGACCCATGGATTGATGAAAGTCCATCTCTTTTATATTGGACTTCCCATATACCCAATAAGAGGCCTACATATATATGCGTAAAGGCAGCCCATTCTTAAACCAAGAAATTTTGGCTCTCAAAATTTACGCTCCACCATTTCTGTTAAAGACAATGCCCCTGTTTGAGCCACATTCTCATTTTCAACCACACATTTTTTAGTAAAATAATATTTTTCACCACATTAATAACTTTTCATTCTTTTTCAACCACATATTCACCATCACATTACTTATTCATCAATGACTTTGGTGGATTGTCAAAAACATATTTTAAAGTGGGGTTATTTATGTCATTTTATATGACTCTGTTTGCGAAATAAATAATACAAAAATTGTTATATTCACACCACAATTTTTTTATATATAGATACCTCACATTTCAATTACATTAAAAGTCATAACCTTTATTAATTATCATACTTAAATCCTTAACTTTTTTCTTCATTACATTCTTATTTTTAACATTTTATTGATCGAAAATTTGTCCTTAATCATGGTTTTCGTTCAAAAATATTGTTAATGTGCTTTAGAATGAGGGCCAAATATTTAGTCGCGTTTTAGCAATTTTTGCTTATTTAAAAATACAATGGCCAATAAGTCTTTCTATTCTATTTTAAAGAAAATTTTGAAATTAAACCATAATCAGAAATAATTTAGGTTAATTTGAGAATAAGAATAATGCGAAAAAGTTTGAGGCATAAATACGATGATATGTAAATGATATGAATCTCAATAAAAATGTAGTCTAGTTATTAAAAATCGAGGTTTGAATATATTTAGCCAAAGAAAAATTGAATTAATAAGAGGTTAAAGATAAAAAAAAATAATAATAATAATTCTAAAAAAACTGGTGACATAATAGCAAAAATGAGAACACGTTGTGAATATTTAAAATTAGATATATTCACACCACATTTCAACTTTTTTCATTACATTTTAATTTTTAAATTAACACAACCAGTCCCTTATAACAGTTTATGTCCAATGTTTCGCGGATATGAAGTACAATGACTAATTTGCCCTTGTATTTTTATACAGCAAAAATATAGTTATTACAAAATTGCAACAAATTGTTTGTCCATCTTTTTAAATTTGGCTAATAGTATTTTTGGACGAAACCATGATTAAGGACGAGATGTGCTGGTTAATGAAATGTTAAGGGCATGTTTGTTTTTTATTCTCAAATTCTACAGTAAATCAATTCTCATTTTCAATCAAACATTCTTCAATAAAATAATATTTTCCATCACATCAATAATTTTTTCTTCTTTTTCAACCACACATTTTCCA